AGTTTCCAGGCCAAATTCAGCAAACATACCCTCCACGAGTACATTGGAAACTGTGAAGAATGATCACAGTGAATAGCACGATGAGCTGTTGTTTCAGTGGAGACCTGCTAATGATGAAGGCAGTCCTGTCTCTAACAGGGCTAATTGGGGTTCAGAGGCGCCTAATGTATGATAGATGGGGAAGGAGAGGGTCTCAGTGGTGTATGGCACTGCTGGCATGAGATGACAAGCATTAATAGAGCTGAACCTTTCACTCTGAGCTGAAAGACATCTGTAGCCAGCAGGTAACCTCAGCTTTATCATTACAAGCTAGACCTACTGATGCTCTCCTGGCATGACAATTTAAAGCGATATATATGTTTGCTGGCTAATTCAAGCTGTCAACATCATCCCTGTTTGTAGGTGAAAAATGGGTGCACCACGCAGTGCACCAGATGGCAGGAGCGCATCATCAATCTGAGACAGCAGACACTTGATGGATGGAGTCTCCAGAGTAAACAGTTTCAAACTAAGAACCACACAGAAAAGAAGAAGGGAAAAAAAGGCTCACAAATGAGCACTTTTGTGCCAAAAGAGAAATGCAACAAACATATTTTAGTTTGGGGATTAAAAAATTTCACTCAAGAATCAAAAAAGTCAGTAAGGGATCCTGATATTAGACTCCAGCTGGTGCTAGAGGTTAGCATAGTCAAAGGCAAGTCAACAAATAATGATTTTAATGATATAAATTGTAATACTGATCTATTGAAAACAAAGGAGTTGCATGTGTTAGAGCATTATCACCCAACTCTTATTATTTCCATCCCTTTTTAAAATAGCAGAGTTTAGATACAAACTGCTGCTGAGTGGGCAGCGCCTCTAATGCACCAACCAAACGCCCCGTGCTCACCATTTCACACCTTTGCAAGGAAACATTGTAGCAAAACAAAGTGTATAGCAGGTTTTTGGTAGAAACAAGAAATCTCTGACATCAGAAATCTGTATATGAACATGCACAGCCTGCAGAGTTCGCTTTGGTTATCACTTGAAGGGGCTGGCAGCTAAATGTAAGCTGAGTGAGGTTTCCACTATTCATTAGTGCAGCAACTATATTTTCCTAAATCTACTTATTTAGTAAAATCTGTATGGAAGCCTGTTTCTGCCACTAAAAAAAAAAAAAAAAAAAAAAAGGATCCATCAAATTTTGAGAAAATAATTTGAAATTTTGACTCACTAACTCGAAATTTTAAGAGAAGTAACTCGAAATTTCGAGTTAGTGCTGCCAATCAGTAATCTACGTGAATGACGTCATTTCCTTGTTACCCGGAAGCTGAAGCCCTCAGCTACAAATGCTACAGCTAAGCTACCAGTATTACAGCCAGTCATAAATGTACAAATTGCTGATTGTTTTCAGCGTGGCTTCAAAAATGATGAAATCCTTGTGTTACTAGCTGAATCACATGGCGTTACTATCACCAAACGTACTCTCGAAAGCGCCGATTTGTTGCGATCCAGTGTTTATCTATGTAGATTACTGATTGGCAGAGCTAACTCGAAATTTCGCGTAACTTTTCTCAAAATTTCAAGTTAATAAGTCAAAATTTTGAAAAAAATTACTCGAAATTTTGAGTTATGGATCTTTTTTTTCTTTTTTTTTGTGGCGGAAACGGGCTTCCATAAATCAGAGATGCTGTTAGGCAGACTTGCTGTTAGAGATTGCCTGAGCTAGCCTTCATGCTAAGCAAGGTAAACTAGAAATGGCTAGTGGTAGTTTCCCACGTATCTTTTTAAATACTAATGATGTCAATTTACTCATACACAATGAAAAGAAAGCCAATAAACATATTTCCTAAAATACTTTTGAATGCAGTTTTTTTCTGCGTAGCAGAGATATTCTTTTGTAGTCCAATTGCTTTGCATAGAAAACAGAGACACATACAGTATTTGTTGGTGAAGAAAAGCATGTAGGCGGACTCTCTTTAATGCCGGAAATATGATCCCCTGGTAAATTCTCAATTTCAACCACTTTGAAAAAATGAGCAGTTTATTGTTTCAATTTTGGATTTGCTTGTTAATCAAACATAAATTATCAACAAAACAATCAAGAAAATACACACCTTGTGAAATTAGTCAAAGCACCCTGGCCAAGTGCCCTTTCCCTCAATGTTTTGTGTATTTCTACATGAAGTGTGTATTTCTGCCAAGGATTCAATCGCACTGTACCCTTGGCAGAAATACACCACCAAAGCATAATGATTTCACCATGTTTGACAGTAGCGATGGTTTACTTTCCCCTCCAATCATGGCAGATTGGCAGACAGACTGATGCCAAACAGCTCAATTTAAGTCTCATCTAACAACATCACATTCTCCCAAATCTCATCAGATCTTCTGAGGGTTCACTGGTAACCTTAAGAGGGGCCTGAACAATGGCTTTCTTGAGCCTGGCTACTTTATAGGCACCGCAAGAATTTATACTATATTGGTTACCAACGGTTTTATTAAATCACACACCCAGTGTGATTTGAGATCTTTAAGGAAATCCTGCTATGCAGTTCTGGGGTCATTCCAAACTGTTCAAACTGCCAAAAGTTGTAATTTTCTTACCAAACTACTTTCTGGTGTTTTTATAGTCCATTCGAGCCTTGTGGAAATAGGCACTCTTGTTCCTCACATCCTTTAATAGATCTTTGGACTTTTTCATGGAGGTCAAGTTAAAGATGTATACTAGGAGTCCTGGTATACTACTCAACAAAGTGGTGCAATTAACTGCGAATGCTGCCTTGGTAATTGTTAATAATTAAGTTGACTCGTTAAGACTCATTTCCCTTATTCCTTTGTGATTTTGTTGATACATTATATTTAGCTATAAAATTAAACTGCTCATTTCTCTGTAAGGGGGTGTAATTATAAATGAATCACAGTGTCAAATGCTCATTTCCTCCCACTGATCACATTACACCAGACCAAACTGTGATTATTGACTTTCATGAACATAAACTGTAGATTATGTATGTTGGACAGAATACACTTAAATTTCCATTTATGTGATGTGTCAGGATTGCTTCTTCAGAGGAGTTAAATGCTGAAGCAGCATAAGCGATGACAAAAGTGACAGCATTTCTTCAAAACAGCCACACAAAAGTGATGTACACTAAAGTGAGGAAACGCAGGCAACTTCCTGGGTATGAGTTAGCAAGGTGAATGAGGCCAATGTGACGTCTGCAGACAAATACAAAACTGCTGAGATGCTGTGTCACAATATGACAGGCTGCACTCTGCCAGCAAAGTTAAACCTCCCCCGCTATATTCTGAATATAAACAGTTTGAAAAACTGCAAATTTAAAAAAAAAAAAAAAAAAAAAAAAGGTAACAGTGGAAGGCAGAGATGAGTCCTTTTATGATGGAGGCATCACTATATGACATGCGACCACCAGTGTGCGCCATGAATAAATCATCCCGAACCGGGCGGTGAGAGTAAACAGTTGTGTATCTTCACCTCAAATGCCTAGAGAGGCCTGTCAGACACAGCAGTTAACAAAGCCTACCTCCTAATCATCATGCGAACCATGTTTCAGCAGATCCAAGTCCACAGCTGACACCATTACCCCACTCCCATCTTCTCCTCTCACTTTACAACACAAGAACTCACTCAGTATTTCTCCAGAGTCAACTTAAAGTGAAGTTAAAGCAAGATGGTAGCATTGCTGTTAATCTTTCCCCAGAGTCTCTGCTTCACTCAGTTGTATTCAAAGACCGCCTGCATTGTCTTTGTAAATTAGGAAACCGGGGCTTTGGGATTAGCTGCCAATTTGCACCCACTGTGGAATGAATCTCCTTAAGACCTCCGTGATTTACCCATTAACACGGCTGCACGCATGACCCGGCTCTTATCGAGTGCATCGCTGGAACAAAGTATGGTTTAAAACAAAATCAGCATGCTTCATCCTTCCATAAAAAAACTCTTTAAAAGATGCTTTTTTTTTAGAATATAGTTTTATTTATAATTTATAATTGGCAGATACAAAAAACTCTTGAACTGTATCCAAAATGTGCAATAAATCACTGTTGATTTTTTTCCCAAAAGAAAAATACAAAAAGACCATCTATTTTGGAAAGTTGACAACCAATGTAAACTGGAGTGAACTGGTAATTCTACAGAGGGTTTACTAATCGCTACGAATTCTCCTTTGACTACAAATCTGCTTTGCTCTCCCAAGATGAAAACCAAAGTCACTGTGTGTACATACATCTACATTGGTGACATTCTATCCCCGCCCCCCGCCCC